TTCATGTTTAACGTTCAAATTATGAACTGCATGGAGTACTCTGAACCGGATATAATAACACAACGATTTACTTTAATTGAAAAGAAAACAAGGAAACAAGAATCATTACACTTGACGGTGAAAATAGCTAGAGGGTCGAATTACAACATTGGTTTCAGAAACTTGGCATAAACAAAATCACTGCCGAAACCACAAAGAGGCTCTAAATGAAGAAACCTACCGACTCTCCACAATAATTCTTCGTTCGCAGTTCAATTTAGCATTTTGGTTTCGAAGACCAGGACAGTTTTGCTGTTTACGATAAAGATTATCGAAATGTTTGAACTCCACGCACGCATGAAAGGGATGCGATCCGCTGAAATTTTTCATAATTATACATAATTATGCGAATGTTTAGACAATCAACCAATCAAAATCACTACCCGGTTTTCTGGTAGTGATTACGTCACTGGACGGCATTAACGGCCGGTCGATTCAGACGTTGCTGAGAGGAGAAAACGACACGAAGCAATCGGATGAAATTCTGGCTACTACATATACCCTTAGTGAAAAAAAAAACTACAAATTGATTTTTTGCGGCGTTGTACTTGCTCCAGTGCCAATACATCGATTGTTCTCGAGTTTAACCTTTTTGTGACGGCCGGTGATCGAGTAGCGAAAAAACTGCATTTTCACCAATTCCTCTTCTTTGGACTGGTTCTCGGCTAATTAGCACAATGGTAGCTGAAAACGAGTTTTGTAAGGAAAAAGGCATATTTCCGACTAATCTGACGTAATAAAACAACTTTTTTGTTTTTCACGCAAGCGCAAAAGCCAAAATTTGGACTTTTTTTTGCGAATCTATTTCGATCTTTCTCTCTCGTTCTCTTTTTTCCCTTTCTTTTCCTTCTTTATTGACGGTTTTGTAGCCCACTTTATTGCCTTTCTTTTGCTTGAAATTTTGGCTGGCTAAATTTTTAGTAAAGGGGCAAATTTACTTTTCAAGGAGTCGTATGTAAACAGCGAAATTGGCAGTGGATTTTTCCCCAAAATGTTACCTTTTGTTGTGAGTGTAACTCTGTCAGGATTGGTCAGAATATCCAAAACGAGGTATCACTAGAAAGACCTATCTTTGGAAAGCTAAATGCTTCCAGGAAGGAAGATATGCATCGTTCCATATGGAACGAAAACGACCAAAGCAGTCGTCGAAGGGTTAAAATACCCCTAATTTTGACCATATATGGTCATTTGGCGAGACATTTGAATTTCTTTAATTATCTGTAACTTTACGCCTTTTAATCCGATTAAGATGGGGTTTTCAACAGATATCATAGAAATCTATGCAGAAAACTAATATAAATTTTTTACCATTTCTTACCTGAATTTTTATTCTAATACCAAATTTGGACATCATCTATGACGTCACAACAGGGAAGAAATAAAACCAATTGAAAGGTCATTTATCAACCTACTTCCCTGCCATGTTTCGTCACCTTTGATTCATTTTATTCTGTCTTGTGCCTAAAACTCTCAGTTTTGAGAGGTGCCGGAGGAAAAGCCCTAGCAACCGACCACCGTGCATTGACCCCGATTCACGGTCCTCGGTGATTGCAGATAACAAGATCATGCACAAATTTATCCTTTGAACGTATACGCAAATTCATACCCCCACCGTAGTAAGGGGGTGGGGGGTTGGATGGAATCCCCCCTAGAGTGTTTGATATATTGCAGTATTTCGAGACGATTTTACCTTCAGTGGAAAGCCTTTGATATTCTCTACGAGCTGAGGTATATTTTATGGGTGGTGGCGCTGCTTGGGGCCTGTGCCGTCACCTATAATGGTCGCCATCTTGGATTTTACCAAGAATTAGAAATCAATTTTTTTGTGCTTGACATGAAAAATAACACGTAAATAAGCACTTTGCATGATTTTAGCCACAAGATTTACTTTTATTGTTGAAAAAAGTTGAAAATACGTGTACCTTCGCTCAAAAATGGCTTGATCACCTCCTACTTATGACGTCTAGCTATAGAGGTGCAACTCTCTGGAACAGTCTGCCGCACAATCTTAGGCAAGAGGAATCTCTAAATCGTTTTGAGTAATTGTTAAACTTTCTTTTTAGTTGATTAAGTTAGATACACAGCATTCATGGATGTAATTTTGACTAGTATTTTTAAGAGACTCTTTAGATATGTATTTTTTATTATTAAATATTGTTATTTAGTTATACTTTATATGTAACAAAAAACCTGATGAATTTTTCACCGTGTTAAAATAAAGATTTGAGATTTGAGACGTCATCTCTCGCAACCATAGATACTGACCATCACTGAACTTGACTGATGTGCGCGAGGAATGAACGAACAGCTACCAACTAAAAACAGCAGGTGCTGATGTTTTACTGATGTTTTATCCTCTAGGAGAATCCCCCCCCCCCTTTGCACGTCCGAGGTAAAAGCTTAGCAAGGCCACATTGAAACCAACTGGGGCGGGCGAGGTCCAAAAAAAGTATTCGCGCAAAGGAAATTGTATGAATGTAAGAACATCGTTTCTCAGTTCCAGACCTCCTGTCTTCCCCCAGGGTATTGGTTTTCCCGCACAAACGAACAAAAACCGAGTATGCCAAAAAAAAGTTCAGAGAAATTGTTAGAAAGTCAGTAATTCAGCTGTTTTAACAGCTTGTTTGGAATTTCGAGCAAAAAAATCAGAATTTCTCTGAGGCAGAACGAGCCATCAATTCGAATTTTCAGAACTCGTAATTTTAATGTTGTACAGTCGCCTCCCTCAAATGACGGACAGATGTTGCGTCTGTTTGCTCGTAGCTTCATGATATGATATTTTATTGTTTTATCAATTTGGTGCAGATAAATAAACAAGTCATAAGTTATGATCTAGGAAAGTTTAGGTTGCCTGGGTAGTATTTTATTGCGATAACTCCAGCGACATACAACACCACACAAAGCTTGCGAAAATAACCAGACAACATCATTCCCAACCTCATTAATACTTCATAAAGACAATACAAAGGAAATAAATGTTTGCGAGTATTTAGAAATCAGATGAAAAACTGCTCATTTTTGCCCTCTTAATTCTCTTTCTAAAATCATTTTATGTGGAAACTAATATATATCAAGTATTCAAAGAAGTGTTTTATCACCAGATGAAACACCTTGAAGTTCGTCAAAAATACTCCGCTGCCTGTCGTATTTTCAACACTCTACTCAGTGTTTCATACGGTGGTGAAACAATGCGTCTCGTACTTGATATATTACTTCTCAAACTCATTAATAATTCATTAAGAAAATACAAAGGAAATTAATGTTTAATGAGTGTTTGGAAATCGGATGAAACACTGCTTAGTATTTGCATCCTTAATTTCTCCTTCAAAAATGATTTTGTTTGAGAAGAAATATCAAACATTCGACACAGTGTTTCATCACCAGATGAAACACCTCGAAGTTCGTCAAAAATACTCCGCTGCGCGTCGTATTTTCAACTCTCTTCTCGGTGTTTCATCTGGTGATGAAACACTGCATCTCATGTTTGATATATTACTTCAAACATTAAGATTCTCAATCAAAGAAAGAATGATGACTAAATAATGCATAAGTAATAAGCTGTTATGAATTCACCGCACATCAAGGCCCATTTTGATATGAAATAAAGCGGTTGTTGCTATTGCTGTGATAACACAAAGGTTTTTATTTTCATATCTCACACAAAGTTTCATAAAGAATTGGAAAATAATATGACTACTGAAAGGTTTTAGATACAATATTAAATGAATATCCCATTGGCCTTCGCATAATATATTGTACCTTATACTCCCTAGGGCTTTTTCAGGTTTCTCAGCTGTTTCACATGTGCTGAATCTAAAGCAAATGACGGAAAACAATAGATTTTCCCTATTAGGGGCACATTTGAAGTTCGACGTTTAAAATGAGTCCTCATAAAGTAGAAAAGATTATCTAAATACGAAAGAAAAGAAAATGAAATACCTCAGTGAAGTCCGTTTTATCAGACGTTTTTTACTTCTATAATTTGGTCACACAGCAGTACCTAAGTAATAATGTGTAGAATGCATGTAAAGTAACGTTTACTTTTCTCTCAGAGAAAAGTAAATGTTAGTTTACATGCATTCTACAAATTATTACCATGTACGTAAAAACATGGCATAACTGATATTTTTTATTCACTGATTACAGACTCAAAACCTCAGTTTTGCATGCACCTGATCAAACAATTCGGGTAGCACAGGCCAAAATAATCATGGGGAAATTGGGTAAATGAAGCAAGGCAGAAATATTTATTACTTTTAAAGCTTTTTGCAGTCCTGTGACTGCTAAACCCCAATTTTCAAGTTCAGCTGGTTTTCTTTAGAATCTTTTGTTCTTGTCTTGTGCTGGATAAACGGTCGCAATTTTAGCTCTAACTGGAATATTGTCGGTATCCAGACCTGGGGTTTGACCACGAGTATCAAACTCGATCTTAACTTCGGGTCGAAATATAAGACAGTGCGTGGAACCACCATAGTGGAACATTCCGAGCTGGTCGCCCTTCTTGACTCTGTCCCCCTCTTTAACAGTGATTTCGTTTGAAGAGACTTCTGACATACCGATTGCTACGAAGCACATCAATCCAATATCAGGATTATCAGCCATAATGTAGATTATCCCTCGGGCAGCTACCTGGGCCAGGTATCCTTGAGACATGTTAGGTGATGCGGGGTCGTCCTGAATGTTATGGGTCTGCGAGTAATAAGAACCATCAACAAGTTCTGTTTTGTAGATTGTACCCGACACTGGGCTGTGCCATCGGTGATAGCTGGTGGCGCTAAGGTACCCTTGGTAGACGGTTCCACCATGAAATTTCTTGGCCAGGTCACTCTTGTTCAGCATAAAATGCAAAGAGTACCGTTGTCTCTTAATCCAAAAGAAGTCCCTCGTTTTGACACATTTAGCTATCTGGTAAGGGGCCGACTCACAGGCGTTTACAACAATGTAATCATCGTCTGGAAATTCTACTGGACGAACTGCAGGACGAAACTCTCTGGTAAAAAATCATCCCATGACTTGAAACCATAATAAGGGGCATCTGGATCGCATTTAAACTTCTCAACAAAGTTTGGCATTGCTTCCATTGCATCCTCACCAAACCAACCATGTCGAGGATGGTCAGTCAAGACATAGCAAGACTCTGGAGTTGACAGGAACTCTCCCCAATAATTGAGAATGTTCTTGAACAACCTGTTGACTTTGTCGTTCAGGAAGGCAGCAAATCCAGCGGTGGTAGCCATCGGCCAGTTCAAGATAGCATTGATTGGAAAGCCAACCAATGCAGTTTTGTTAAACATTGGAGCTGTTGTCATGATGTGGTCGATTATTATTATCATCAATTGCCAGGACGGAATTTTCATTCCTTCTGAAGAGTTTGGGAGTTGATACTGTTGCCAGAACATTTGATGAAAGAACATGTTGATCTCGTGGTCGGTGAGAATAGCATTCTTTAAATCTTCGACTGGTTTATGGAGACGGAGGTGCTTATCTGTAATTTTAGTATCTGTAGATCGAAGTACACACAGAGGCGTTTCGTCGCCTTCAGCTGCTGGATGAAGAGTTAAAAGCATTTCTAACTTATCTTTGTATTTACATTGACACTCGTGGATCACGTTGGTCAACCATTCGTCAGTGACGTTCCAGTCGGCAGGAAGCCATTGACCAAGACGAAAAGGCCTGCTGCTTGAGACTGATTGTATTGCGTGCAAAAAGCACAACCAGCGAAAAAAACTTAACATCCTCGTCGCCATCTGTGCACGTTAATCTACGCAATTTTTAATATTAGCACATGCGCATATTGATGAGTTGAGAGTTATGCTTGTCGACCCCCCGTAACGAAACAAGGGACGTTTCCATGCAATTAAATTTTCAAAAATTTTGAAAGAGCGACAAATGGTAGAGAATTTTCGCAGAAAGGTTTCCAGAAATTATGGTACCGTTGAATTTTCAAAATTCAAACCATTCAACAACCGAAAATTCTAGATATTCCGGGAGCAAGGAGAATTTAAAGAGAACTTCCGGGAAAGAGAAAAATTCGAAAATTTGGGTATACCTCGCAAGGTAGTCCTCTTTTTTGGAAATTTTGGAAAATACTGTTCTTTTTGCTCCTGGAAGTTGGCAAAAATTCCAACCGGACCTTTTGGTTGAATGGAAAGTGCCCATGGCTTTTAACAAACTATTATAAAAATAATCATAATATTACGAGTGTTGTATTGGTGCTGATTCCTCACCATGAAGTAGTTTCCGAGGGAACGGAAGACAGGCTGCCCCTTGTAAATTAACAATGCGTCAAATCAACAATAGCATATAGCCTGGGGAGTGAAATGTGAAAAATTAAACTTCTGAAAATCGTAGGAAATTTATTAGATGAGCTTCGAGAATTGTAAATGAATAGAACGGTCATGAAGAAATTTTTAGCCGTCCTTGAGTAATAGAAAATTTTGGGCAATATATGCTTCTTCGAACAGATATTTTAAAGAAAGCAGTCGTTGGGTGCCCCTGTGTAATTGGTTGATTTCGATCCATGTTGTTTATTTCGTTTAGTGGTAATCATGATCGGCAATTTACTTTCTCAGGATGTATTGTTATTTTTTCCTGTAATCTGATCGGTCAACTCTGTCTAGGTGGCTCCGGTTAAGGGATAAAAATAACTAGAAATACGTGAATCGCAGAACCTCGCAAAGCTTGGGGGTGGGGGCCCATCCAATGCAAGGAATGGAAGGCTGGTAGAGAATTGGAGTCACCCATGTAACTGAAATACAGTCGATTTCCTTACGCTGGAAGGAAATGGGACCCCAGCCCCCTCACTGCAAAAAGGAAGAACTGGTGTGGATGTGGTACGGGTGTAAGTGGATTACTACAGAGTAACAATTACTCAGTGGCAGTTGGTTGAGTTCTGGTGACATAAGAGTTTACAAATGAGGAATACAGTGTATGAAATGAGTAATGAGTGAATGAAATGGCAGAAGGTATGCTGTAGTGAAAAGAACAAGTAAATGATAGGTATTAGTGGAAAAGTATTGTTTATTGTTATCCAACCAGAGCAAGGAGAGTTCTTACAATGTTCCTAATCGATCATTGCCTTGACAACTATTGTTTACAAAGAGTGAAATGAAGTGACATTGAAAGACATTTCAATGAGGATGCACATTATGAGAATCATAAAACTAATCAGCCCTAACTAATGAATATTTAATGAGGGGGTGTTCATTCGCAGTATGTCTGTAGAAACTGGCACAATGAGTTTGTATGAGGACATTATTGGTGGTGCTGTACGTACACTGATATGTACAATTTTCCTGAGCAACTGAAATGGCAATGAGTCTTAATGATGGCCTTCATCCTCCCCTTACAGCCATCCTATCCACCCACTTATGATGTTTTAAGCACGTGACATGAATTTCATGAAAGAATATAATTCTGGCAATGGAACATTGCTCATTATGTGAATTATAAAACTTCTGTAGAAAAGAATTACATTTGAAAAACCAAAAAGAAAGAGGATGATGCTATTCCTGAATGAACGAAAAAAAAAAACCATTGCCTTTTTTTGGAATATAGTGAAGATAAGTCTATTTCTTCTTTGCTGAGCTGAAACCTGATCATAGGTTAGCTGAGGTGGGCAACCATGTGCTTCACTAATATTGTGAGGTGATGTAATTATGCAGACTTTCTTGCAGAATAGAAGGCAAGCAAGAAGAAATTGACTGAAACAACACAGTGGTGTTTATATGTAAAGCTGTTATATGTTATGTTTTAGTTAATTGGTCTATGTAAATGGTTTGAAGCAGAAAATATAATGGAATTTGTTATGAACAGGGATACTATTGTTAAAAACCCTTGAATCCCCAATACAGTCAAACCTAAGTACAACAGTGACCCGACAAAGATGGTGTGTTGACCGTTATATACAGGATGACCGCTATCTATAGCTGAACTTTACGAAAAATATAAGGCAACTAAAAATTTTAGGAGGTTTTCTCGTAACCATAATATACAGGCTGACTGCCTATATAAAGGGCTGTCATATACAGGTTTGAGTGTATCCACATCTCAATCATACTCTTTGCTATATAAACATTTTCCTAAAGTTTTAGTTGAGAAAATTTGACAAAAGGTGAAAACATATTCTGTTAGGTGATTATTTTATTAATTGTCATAACCTTTCCTCTTGGTGAAGTATTAACGTTGTTAGGAGGAAAGTGATGTTGGCTACTACTGGGACTTAGAGGCTTCAGTAAGGACTAATTGTAAAGTTAGGAAATACTAATAATATATTGAATTGTCACATACTGTCTGAAGCAGAAATGGTAACTGTGATACTAAATAATAGGCTGATTTAGCAACAGAAAGGGAACGCGCGGAAATCAAACAATTGGCTTCAACAATGGCAGAGCCGCAAATTGCCCACCGAAGGTCGAGTTTAGTTCTTTCCGCGCGCTTTCCCGTTGTCAAATGACGTTCCTGTTCTGTTGCTAAATCAGCCTAATGTTTCACTATCAGGGTGTAGTTTCCCTGTGATAATAAATGCTCTGTGATGATTTTGATTTTGAAAGAGTTGAATTTGTTACTACTAACTTTAAGAATGTACTGTATTAGAAAATGTATCAACTTTGTTTAGTTACAGCATCAATAACACCACAGAGTACATTAGATTCTGTTCCAGTCAGTTCCAAAACTGGCCATCTCCTTCCTGTTTGTACCTAGGGCATTTGCTTGGAGGTATGCTTTAAATGCATAATATTGTCTGGAAATAAACAATCCATTGTACAACAGCTTTCTGATACTTGAGAGATTGTGGTTGTGTTTAGTAGGATTTAAACATTACAGTGGAAATTTTACATTATTGAAACTGCCAAAAACATACCTACTTACGTTACTCTGGATGCTAAGGTGGAACAGGTGCAGAGACGTGCAAGGCGGTGGATTGTACGAACGCGCAGAGACGAGTCGTCGTACAAAGAGCGCCTAACTTTGCTAGACTTACTTCCACTTCCTCTAGATCGTGAACTTAAAAATTTAATCGTTTTTTATAAATGCCTTTACTGTAGTACCGATTTAGATCGCAATTATGTATCTTTCGTTTCCAACGATCGTACAAGACTAAGTAACTCCTTTAATCTCCGCACCCCTTTTTGCAAAACATCAACTTTTCAGGGCTCGTACTTTAACGGTATAGTTAAACTATGGAATTATGTTTGTAAGCTAGCACCCCCAACCAGTTTTTCCTCGCCTACTGNTATGTTTGTAAGCTAGCACCCCAAACCAGTTTTTCCTCGCCTACTGCCTTTCAACTTTTTGTTCGCAAATTAATGACCACTCACCTGTCGCGGGTATATGAAATCAATTACCCCTGCACGTGGATAGTAGTCCCTACTTGGCCATGCCACTCGTAATTTATTTTATTATTTGTACCAATGTTTGAGTATTCTTTTTTTTTTAATTTTAACCTAGGTCTTAATCTCGGGGCGTTGCCTCGCATGGGACGTCAGGCCGGTTGCACCTACCCCATTCTTGTGTTGTATTATAAATTTATATTGAATATTATTACAGGAGTACCCAATAAGGCTGTGGAAAAAATGATAGTAAGGTTTCTTAAGATTGAACTTGTTAAAATTAAAGACAAGAAATGAAACAACATGTGTCCGCGACTTTTTTTTTTCTAAGAGCTCACTCAATGCGAACACCCGAATAATACGGACATTATTGCACGTCCTCTCGTCGTCCGTATTAATCGGGTTCCACTGTTCCTCTCTTCTCCAGAGTCCTTGCAAGCTAACTATTAATGTCTCTGTTTGTTATTAGGTAGCAAGGATGCCTCATAAGAATGTTCTTATTGTTGTAAGCTGCGTTTTATTTGACTTCTTTGCGTTCGCTCTTATGCCCGTCTGTTTGGAAGCCGGGGTGGAGTGCACCTATCTTGCGACTGAAGCAACAAGTGCAGGTCTACAGTGGATGGCTGTGTATGTTGTATAGTATGTAGTTAGCAATCAGTTCTTTTCCTACATTTAGGCAACGGGGAAAGCAGGCAAATTAAAAAAAAAAATTAGCTTTGGAACGGACAATCTAAATCTCCAAGCAATTAACGAAGGCTTTTCATTCAAGAAATGGTATTTAATGCGCATGTGCATCAGCTAACTCTGTCCCTTTAATAACTATGATGTAATCGGTCTTATTATTGATTCAAAATAATTTTCCGTCTCTGATTGGCTAAAATCCCGCGCATAATTGACCATAGCCACCAACTGTCGACCAAATTTGGAAGAATTTTGAGATACCTGAAAAATGACGTCAATCGCACACCAAATTGCCAGATCATTGAACCGACAACCGAGAGGACCTGGGGTTAGGTTAAGTTGTTGTTTTGGCAGTGAGTAAAAAACTGGAAGACAACTCGACGGACGACATCTGCTATTTGGAGAATATTTGGAAGCTGAACAAACATTTATCTCCTAAACTTGCCGATTAACATGAACTATCAAAGATTAACTTTACATCGATGGAGGTAAGCATGTTTTAACTTGTTTTTAAACTAGGAATTATTTTGAGTGAATGATAAAACAATTATTGAATTCGGCTTTCGTATCCTCTGAAGAATTATGGAGATCGCGGAGGGTGTTATTCGACGAGTTCGTACTAGCTGCAAAAAAAGGGTACATAATGACAACACCGTGCCTTAACGACACGCCAATTCATGACGGCATTAATGCTAAGTTGTTCCGCCTCAGATTGATGTGAA